ACCCAAATCACCAAAAACACACCCACCCCCGAAGACCAAAGTGCAAATTGATGTGAATCTAACATCCAAATGATTTTAAGATCTCGTTGGATTTTTGTCTCCCTGGCGCGCGTTCTAGGGGACATGGAAATACCGGGCGTCTGCCGTTTGTCCGTCCGATCTTGATAGCTCTCTCACGTGTTAAATTCTTGCTAGATTTTTACAAAATTTATATACTAGTATTAGGTTTTTATCAGCATTTGTGAAAATCAGTGCCGATTAATTATTTTTAAAAGAGTTATGCTCTTGGAAATATTTGTTATATGGAAAATTGCATTTGTAAGCGCTCTCACATGTACAATTTTTGCCAGATCTTTTAATAATGTATATCAAACTTTAAGGTTTATATCAGCATTGTCTTGGATAATTTCAAAAGTCAGTGCCGATCAAATATGTTTAAAAGAGTTAATTTCCTTATGTCGTAACTACAATACCCTTCCCTTTTCACGAATGTGACCTACATAATTAGACTATTTACCGGATTTGTAATAACATAAGCAACACGACGGGTGCCACATGTGGAGCAGGATCTGCTTACCCTTCCGGAGCACCTGAGACCACCCCCAGTTTTTGGTGGGGTTCGTGTTGCTTAGACATTAGTTTTCTATGTTGTATCATCTGTACTATTATTTGTCTGCTTGTCTTTTTATTTTTGGCCATGGCATTGTCAGTTTGTTTTCGATCTATGAGTTTGAATGTCCCTCTGGTATCTTTCGTCCCTCTTTTAATGGAAATATCTTTTAATAACTTGTTTGCGTTCGAGGCGCTTTTCTGGATTTACCTTCATCGAAGTACCGATCATTCATTTATAGTATATTGAATCGTTTGATTGTAAATTTCGAGAAAATAATTTATTTCAGAATGGAATTGAAAGAAAAAATGTAACGGGGTCTGAATTATTTTTAATTTTATTTCGTCCTTACCGAGTCATCATTTAGTGTTGACATTCAATATGTTTAAGCCTTTGTTAACTTTCTCCTAAATCCGATGAAGCTGTCCAGTTTAGACTGTGCTTATTAGATAACAATGCTAGTAGTTTATTTTAATCAAGCTTCCAAAACCATATCGGATTTTTCCTATACAGTCCAATAAATTTCAAAGACTGTTTACACTTGAAACATAGGTAACGTTGTTCGGTCAAAATATCTAAGTCCAATTACTCTTCTTTTTTCAATTCATGCCAACAAACCATTTTCAGTCTGAGTTTATATGTCTGCTTGTACGGTGCTTTTTTCCCCTCTAAATTCTATCGGTATTCTTTCCAAATAAATTTCCTTTTTCTATTTTGCTAGCGACGTTTTTCGGTGACCATTCAAAAACGAAAGGGCTTCTTAGCGGAATTGCATTAATTATGATACAATTCCCCATATTTTCACACATTAACATGCGTTTCTATATTTGGATTTCTACTTTCAAAACAAAATTTCATCGAGAAACGGCGTGCATCATTAATAAGAATGTATCGCAAAATAAAACCAACCCAGAATAAAAACTCAGCCTGTTGTGCATACGAACACATATAGATAAATCGTACTGCTTACTTATCAATAGAAACAGAACATTTAAAATGTATATATTTAAATGTAAAATATGAGAAGAAGAATGGGAGGAAGACGACGAAGCAATTAATGTTAAATAACGTATTGCATCAAATCCCTCGACACTGCATCTATGCAAATTTACTATTAAAAAAGTTTATTAAAAATAAAAGGTTGATACATTATTTAAATTTCACATCACAAATTTTTTTTTGTTTTTCTGATTTTTGTTCTTTCATTCGAATCACATCTATGTAAAGTTTTTGTTTTGTGATTGAATATGATACGTATAAAAAGCGATGCTGAAATGATTTTTAATATACAATCACATATTTTTGCAAATTTGAAATAAAGAAACATTTATCTTTTAACTACTTTATACCGGACTGAAGCAAATTGTTATGAAACATCAGGTCTTACGTTTGCCGTCAATTTCATGGATGTCGACAACAGCAGGAACGATAACTCGTGGCGTAACGTCATTCGGTATCGTGTAACCTCCTAATTTATTCGGTTTTTTTTTTCTACTTCTGGAGTCACAACATATTTACAAAGTCGATTTGTGAATTTGCAATATTTAATTTAATTTTTGTCAACAGTTTGGTGCCCTTCATGGCTCCCTAATAAGTAACGTTGTCAAAAAGGACGGAGACGCCAAATAAAAGCACAATCCGCAGACAGACAATACAATACCATGACCAAAAGAAATAGATGAAAATACAAACAATAGTCTACTGAATACTATAGAGAAACCCTACTCAAAGACCGGAGTGACCTCCCGAAAGTTGCACCGGAAAGGTCGACAGTTCCTGCTCCACAATACTCATCATGTGATCAATATTAATCATATTGTTGTTGTTATGGGTGGATTGACGTATGAGTGTTTTTTCGTTCAATTGGCAAATACTACATGTATATCAAGACGAGAACTACTGGATATAATAAGAATGTGAATTTCTTGTAATTAAAATGTTATCGAAATTAGTGAACCAATGCATGCATATACACTAAACTAAGTCATGTATGCACTTTTTTATATGAAACTTTTCCTTTGCAGTTGTTCAATGATTTGATGTATTTAATTTGTTCTTTAAAGGGGCATTAGCTGTCAAATTCATGTTCACCGATTTGACTCAAATTCTCATATTTGATTTATAACATACTAAAACGTATATCCAATAATTACAATAAGTCTAAGATAAACAGTTAACAATGCAGACACTAGATAATATATATCAGCATTTCGTGTGTATTTTGGTTTAGACGCCATCTAATTAACCATTGAAATGACCTCCGAAGACTGCCAACGGTCACATAACCCGACATAAACATAAATATAAACAGATATCGACCTTGTGCAATTGGACTTTTCTAGGTCTGTTTGATTTCATGTTATAGGTTAAAAAAATAAGTTAATCATCGTTTTTACCTGTATAAGAATGTTTTTTATGTGGATCGATTCAGTCAACGAAATGGTTCACCTTTGTTTCACTTTCAATGTTGACATTCTTTTCCTTTTAATGGCTGAACACGACTAATACATGTGTAACCAATCTCTAGCAAAGGGTTAAATTGAAGGTCACATGAATAATGATTCAATGAGGTCGAATTATTCACTTGGAGGTGAATAATTCATCACCGATGTTTCTTTACTTATTTTGACAAAATTGAACCAAATTGGCTGCTAAAAGCGAATTATTATTTCATTATTTCACTTTTATAAATGATTGAACAAAAACAAACGTCGCGTAGTTAAGGTTAATGCAAACGGAAAAATATCGGCGAATTAGAGTACGGGAAGACAAAAATTCAATAGCAGTACATTTATGAAAATTAATTTTTGATAATATAAAGGATTTTCTTTTACAAGAAAGTTCATGTACACGTGTTATGTAGTGAAACCTTAGCCATTCAAGTATATAAAACATATTCCTTTTTTTTTTAAATTTGAAGATTCATATGTCTTTAATCTCCGGATTCTCTTTCTTTTATTGTTTCTGTGCGCTGTCCCCTTGCTCTGTACCCAACATCTCTACTTATTCAACGTTCTTATTCATAACTTATTGAGAAAATAGCACTCTTGAATAAAAAGATTCACGATGACAAATAATGTGCAAATGTCAAAAAGTGCATCCTCATAGGCTTCTGTCTTTTTTAAAAGTTGTATGAAATTTTTCGCGAACTTATCAGCTACAAAACAAATTTGATCTGTTTGAATCTAGTATACTCACATTAGGAAGCTACCATCTGATTTTTATGGTGGGGGGGGGGGGGGGGGGGGGGGGTGGGGGAAGCTAGGATGAAAAATTTTGTCCTGCATTTTTTTAGTTGTAATCTCTGCCCTGCCTATTTATATTTCACTCTATACTCTGTCTTTTTTTTATTAGTTTATCTTGACTTTTTTTACATAAATTGTCATCCTGCCTTTTTTTTTGTCAAGTTGCTCATCCTGCTCCCATAAAAATCAAATGGTAGCACCCTTAAAGTGTTTCAAGCTATTCTTGTTATCTTAGTTTAATGTTTATAGTTGGTTTGTGTTCTTTGACTGTGCTCGCAATCCTCCTTAGATTTATGATTGGTATCTTCTATTTTATCACTGTCTGACTTATCACGTGGGAATGTAAAATGACACCAATTTGATGTATCTAGCAAGTGGAGCAGTAACTCCTTACCCATCAAGAACAAGTGGAGCAGTAACTCATTAGCCGTCAGGAACAAGTGGAGCAGTAACTCCTTAGCCGCCAAAAACAAATTGTTTGCTGTTGACAGAAAGTTGGTAGCCCATTTATGTCTTTCTTTGTTATTCAATATACATAGATACATAGATGTGAATTGCTGTTCCTGTAAAATTAACAATGTTTTGCCAAAATCTTGTTTTACATAATAAAGAGTAGCCAAGATACGGGACATGAATACGACACCCTCTACAACGTTTTATGTCATACAGGTTTGCTTATACACACGTCCTATGGACTCAGATGGATAGATGTCTCATTGGCAATCGTACCAAATCACCATATTTTCATATATTGAAGAGTATAACCTAGGCCTATCAAATAAAATCACTCCCCTATAAAAAGTATTGAATGAATAAGTCTATTATATATTTTTTCGTTTTTTAACATTTGTTCTTTTTGTAGGATTTTAATTCTTTTTCTATTGAATTGTCTAATTTTGTATTTTGTATTTTTGTCATTTTTGTTTGGTTTTTTTTCTGCTTTTTCGGGCGGGATAAATTTGTTTTTTAAATTTATTTTTTCATATTTTTTTTTCTACATTTGTATATTTTTAGGTTTTTTCTTTTTTCCAATCATATGCCTCCTTCGACTGAATCTTTTGAAAATTGTTTTCATCAGACATTTTTTAGGGATATATTTATACTTGCTTTTCAAAGTATATGTATAAGAAGAAAGCACGAATTAGTAACTTAGTAAACTTAATTTATTTAGCAAAATCATGTTGTCATACCCTATAGACTATCACAGAGAGATATCATCTTAAAATTAAACTTTTCCCAAGCTTCGTCTTAACAAATAGTAAACATACTCATCCCATTGGGAAATTAAGATACCAGTATGTTAACGAGATCTCGTAGATCATAAGGCATAATTCTATATATACATGTAAACAAAATATTGCAATGGGAGGCTTCCATGTTTGATAGCGTGAGAATTTATAATTTGATTCTTTCAAAATGTCAAATTTGATTTATTGCTTTTTAAATCCCATACTACATTTTATTTTAATCTCAGACTGTTATGGGCGTAATTAAAATGATGATATTTTCTGTTTTGTCTTATTGTCGTGACAACCATGGACCAGCTGGGCAAACTTTCCATAAGCAAAGAGCTACACCACCTGAAATTTATAAAAGAAAATTCAAACAAATGTATACTATAACAATAGGTCTGTTCAAATTCAAACACATGTATACTATAGAAATAGGTCTGTTCAAATTTAACAAACAAAAGGTACTTTCTAGTATAAGAACACATGATAAAAACAATGAAAATTAGTACAGAAATGGCAATTTACTTTGAAATAACGGTATAACAGATAACAAATACATAAGAACAAACAAACAAACAAAAAACCAAATAAAAACCATAATATACTATATCAGAGAATGCTCGCTCTCATATAAGCATTTTGTGTAGTTTTATAGTCTTTAGGATGCATTAATTCATTTAAAGGCTTGTATGTCATCTTAAAAAAGGTAGGAAGAATACAAAGTATTTTAGTTAGGTTTGTTTTGTTTCGTTGGGTTGTTGTCTCATTGACGTATGCCCTACATCTCCGTCTATACATACAGATTATATTTGTTTGTTTTAGCTGTGAATTCTAGCAAATACGTCTCATGTTGAAATATTGTAGATGTATTATGCTCTGCATGGCTAATCTAATTCTGCATGACACATGTCCTCATTATTTACACAGAGAAGGCAATTTTTTAAATGATCCACGTAGTAATACGTTGGAGACAATAGACAAAATTAGGTTTAACCTTGAAATCGTATTTATAAAGTTAAAGGGTAGACATTTGAACAAATTCCTAAAGTACAGAATGGCAACGTTAGAATTTGAAATTGCAGTGTGCCAGACTTAAAATTTAAAAATTGCAATGTAATCATTTTACTACTTTGAAATTTCGTACAATGGAACCCCGAAAGTGTATTTATTAACTTTGACACCTATCGTACGACATAAAGACCTGTGTTTAGCCCGCTTGGTTGTGCAGAATGTACAAATACATAGTCACGTTATGTCATAAAACGGACCTTAAATTCGAAGCCTCATGTATAATGAGTGTGCACTCACGTAAACTCTTGCAAAAACTATTTTAGGGTCGGAAAGTGGTATGTTGGTAGTAAAAATGTCTGCCACTATCCAACAAGCTGTCCCACGTTGCTTAACCTACCGATTGGATGTATTGTTAATTTGCTCCTTAAAAATCACAGGGAATTTCCAACTGGATATTAATCAACCAACAACGAATCAATCAATCATTTTATAAAAGTTTTACTTTCATCTATCTACTTTTCTTTTTATGTGGATTCGAGAGGCAATAGGTCGAAAAAAAGGCTTACAGCTTGAGACCATAGTTACAAAGTTAACTGATGTTCTATGCTAAAATTCCTAAAATCCTTGGAATATCAAGGTTAACTGGGGTAAAGAAATGCGGAAACTTTGACTTTTACTGTCTAGCAGTAAGAACTGTGTTTAGGGGTCGTCTGGTGGCTTTTCGAAGGTCATTAAGACATGAAATCAAATGTCCTATTTTGGGAGAATGTCGGACTTTATGCATAGCAACTAACAATAAAATGTTTTTTTTTGAAGAGGCAACAGGTGCAATATTGCAATGCAAAATTTCTCGAGCACACAACATTTTTTCCCAGTGCTGTCTACATGTGTCTGTACTTACCCCTGCTAGATCTAGCCAATGCCATTCTTTTAGCTGCCGACATCATTCTTCTAAAACTGGATCTCTTCAGATTTTCGCTACTGTATGGGACACTGTCATTCTCTGTCGATTGGTTTACTTGATCCGACATCAAATTACGTAAAATTGCTTCTCTGTATTGGGGTGATAACATCAAATTCTAAAACAAATAAAATAACGAGAGAATAAGTATTTAATCACATTTATAAACTTCAAGATCATAACAGATGAAACGACCATTAAGGAGAGGTAACAAAAAAAGGACACTTAATCGTACAACCAGTTCAATAATACTTGTATTAAATGTCCCACGATACTCTTTTATAAACTATATCTGATATAAATTATAAGTCTGACAGTGGCGGATCCAGGGGGGGGGAAGGGGGGGGGGCTTTATTTTGACGATCAATGCTTTTGAAAGGGGACATGTGGTTGGAAGATATGGTATGATTTCCAATGAGACAACTCTCCACCAAAAACCTAAACTAAAAACAAATATGGTATGCAGAAGACTACATACAGGCACATACAGAATGTGGCGGGCTTAAGGATGTTCGCTCCTCTGTTTCAAAATGACTAAGTTTTTAAAATTTGGCGGGAAATGATTCTCTCTTGAGTTTCTATCCATTTAACATTTGCACTTTTTTTCTTTCATAAACTATGAAAAAATGACAAGCCTTATAAGATTTTAAAAAATGGCTTTTCAAACTGTATGTAATAAAAGAATGAAAAGAAGGGTAGGGGTTAGCTTGCAAAATTTTTATTGGCCCTACATGGATATAACTAGAGGATTCCAAATATCTGACAAAAAGTCAAAAACAAGAGTAACGAACATCCTTGAACATGTTTGCGGGTAGTCCATTTTATTGACGACAAAAATACTTAGCTTCAATGCAGGTCTAACTGACAAGCTTTTACATTTATCGGTTTATCAAGTGTACAACACCTTTCCATAAAAAAAATAACAGAATTAAACATGATTCTCGAACACCTGTCATAGTCAAAATGCACTGAAGTGGGTTTTCAGTCACAACTACGTGGACATATAGGCCTTCAATCAAGGCCCGATCTAATATTTTACATTGAGTTAAAAAAAAAAATACATCCGATTGAAAATTAATTATCTGATATTAGGCGATCAGTGCGTGCTCTGGTCCTTTCGGTGCTTGTTCCACAAACAGATTTTACTATTTTTCATTGCCCGTACTTGATGACATATTCAGCACCTCTTGTGCTAGAATTCACCGTTGGTGTCTCGATAGAACACCTGTTCTTTTGGAACAATTAAATCGTTCAGACTAACCAAGGGATCAGATGACCAAAACACTATTTTTGTTGCCTTGATTTGTTAATCAGATAATTATAACTTTCAGTGGTTTTTTCATACGCTGTGTAGTATAACATATCTTATAAAGATAAATAGTTCTTCCATTGACACTCCTAAATTCACATTATTACTAAATTCAATCAAGTATATTTATGTAAAGTGCTCTTTTCACAACTTGGTAGTCATAGTATGCAAATCTTGTAACCAAATCTTATTTCAAATCCAATGAAAATAATGACTATAATCATCTCGAAAAGGTTAGTTTTTTCTGTGGTTACTTCAACTTATGATTTCCGAGAGGAAATTAAGAACATTCCGGCTAGGTATTTGCTATTAAATCATTCTCGTCACGAGCATTGTTTTTACAATTAATCTACCATCAAAGGTGTCCCATCTGAGATTTAACATAAATGAAACTACATAAAATCCTCGGCAATGATTGACGCAGTATCCACTGGGATGATAACAATATTTCCAGTTTTACGGAGTATTCAGTGTTCTAAATTTAAAGATAGTCCTTAGATAATTGGTTAGCTGAGATATCAAACTACTACTGCATGTTTTTACGAGACAATAATTGAAATACAATGGCATCTCTTGTCTTTTGTCTTAGCACTAAGATGAGTTGATGTGGAATTCCTATGGGAATCAATTATACTCCTTTTTATTGATGAAATGTATCTAAATGTAATTCCTGCAATATTTATTCAATGTTGTAAAGGATGAGTGTGGTCTTTTTATTTGAACTTTGAAAAGACAAACAAAAATAAATTGAATAAGATAAATAACATTATTACGGTACATGTATCTATATAAAAAAAACCTTATGTTTGTTGTTTGCGTGTGTTGTAATTTTACAAAATTCATATATCGAAACAAACACGAACTATTATTCGTTGTGTGCGTATGACCTACTTTTACAAAATGCATATACAGAAACAAAAAAATGCTCGTTATTAAAATGATTTAAAAGGGAGGCAAAATATCTCAGTTTTGAGACACAGCCTCAAAAACAATGTACACAAATGACTTGCAAATTGGACTTGCAATATGAAAGTAAAACAGAAATTCATGCAGCAGTTAACTCCATGCAGAACATCCAAGCAGCTGACTTTTGACAATACGTTTGTCTTAAGTCGTATCTTCACTGTATTTTATTTAAAATCACATGCGACTTTGTAATGTCATTTCCAGTCAGGACAACTAGGCTATATGTCTGAACGATTTGAAGTTCCTGTCTGTTTATGTATATGTATTGTTTGAAACTTTATTTTTGCCATTTGCTTAACACACTGTAGCATCTTTCAACATAAAGATAATAATGCATAGAAAAGTGAAAATTTCTTAGAAATAAATCAATTAAGGTTTGGCATGAAAACGCCCTTTTGTGAAATTCTTTCGTATAACATGTTTATTTTTTTAATGTGTCGTGTGAAAATGTTTCATTTAATGATAAAGTAGATTTAAAATAGAACCTAGTTTGTAAAACGCAAATCCTAAAACAGGCTTTTCTGATTTCTCCTTTCACTGTTGGTCATCTCATGAATCCAAACAGACCACTTATGTCGGGTTCTTACTTGCTTTTTTGAGAGGCAGAAAATACAAAGACAATTAATTATGATTTGGTGCAACTTATTCGGTGATTTAGCCCACAAACTTCAACACTCTGTGCAGACATGCTGCCACAAGCTATTGATTACCGAGGCGGTTTACACCATGTTGTGGTTTTTCTATTCATATTCAAAGGTAACACCATTCGTATTCAATCAATAAATTTAATTTCGTATGAAATACAGTTTCCCCCGTTTGCTATTAAAATGATTTATATATCAGAGAATCGATATATATATATAGCTATAACTATAGCTAGTTATACATTACTTGAAGTCTCCTTGATGTTAGGTGCTTGGGAAACCAAACAAGTCACAGTTTTGGCGGTTTGTAGGGCGCGGTTATATGATACAATACAAAGTTCAGAATTTAAATGTATCGGTTTTGAAGATGCTCCATGTAACGATGTAGTTTGTCAGATTTTAAATTTGTATATAGTTGCTGCCATATTTAATTCATGTATCTATATGACTTTTTAGTAGAGAAGTTTGTACAATCATGGAATTATTATTGTCTATACTTCCATGGTACAACAAATTAAAATAAAAGTTGCGTCGCAAGTGTAAATAAGAAGTTATTGCGAGCAACCAATCATATCTATGTGTTCTTCTATCTATAGACAATTGAATAAAGATTAGAGAAATACGTTAAAATTAAATTCGGACAAGCAGGGCGAGGAAGAATTTAATTTACGTGTAGCCTCCCTCGTAAGATTCATTTACTTGGCCGTCTTCAGTGACACATTTAAAGTACTTTTAGATTTTTTGTTGTTGTATAATTTAATAATAAAAGAATGACCACATAGCGAATGTGTATGTCACTTTCCCCCCAGTACAAGGACAGATAATGGATAAATGTTGGTAGAAAATGTATACTTGATAGTTAAATATAAACGAATAATGACTTCCGGTCCCATGGGGCAGTATTAAGATGCCATGTTAATGGTCAGCTGAATGTAATTTGATCAGCGACCCGACTGTTTACACATTACGCATATTTACGTTACACGTTAATGTCCATAGTTGTTCGAGTATATGCTTTGTATAATACTATGGTTGGAAGAGTACGACTAGGGTGCGATTTAGATCATGACATTTTTATCATTCGTTCTGCATTATTTTCACACGCTAGGTGTATCATGTCATTTGTAATAATCTTAACGAAATTTTCGGATTGACTGGCTGCCAAATCGAGTTTTAGAGATTTGACTACTATTCGTTGAATTATATTAACAGATAAGGGGGAGTGTGACGTTATCTTTATTGCAATCAAAGGGACATCACCAAACAAGTGGGAGAATCGCGAGGGAATGGTTGTATCTTAAATGTAAATTAATTTATAAAACATAAGTCAAGTGTTACATTTTTTATTTCATACGTACATTCACAAACGCTCTTTTGGAATGTATTTCTCGAGCAAAATAATAAAAACTAAACTGCCAATTTCTTTTCATTCATTGTTTATTAAAGTATAAATTAGGTCGCTTGTTTTCTCTAATGAATTTAGTTTCATATTTTGTCATACCGGAGACTTTTATAGCTTACTATACGGAATGGGTTTTGCCGATTCTTGACGGCCTTACGGTGACCTGTAATTGTTCACATTTAGTTGTTTTCTCATTGGCATTCTTACCACATCTCATTATTTTTATATAACTATTATCTGCGTTCAGCTATTGTTTTAAATATATTTGGAAGAGTAAAAACAAAGTTTACTCTTAATGTACTTCATTCGATATCTAAATTATTTGCACGTGTTGGTGTATTATAACCATGATAAGAATTAAAATGAAAAATTTGGACCTACATCACGCCTTGGTAAATCATCTCTATTATTCTTTAATACTTATGCTTAAGAAGGAATGCAATTGATTTTCAATTAGGATAAAAGTTGTGGAAAACAAAATCGTGTCCATTCATTGTTATAATAAATGAAAAATTTTATATATATATTAATTGATAGTCAGTATGAATTATCAGTGAATCTTGAAATAGGTTGTATAAACGTTTTTTTTTATACCAGGAAGGATAAGGTTACTATACTTATGTGAATGTCAAATGAAGAAATGATAAACGAGTTAATCCTAAAGCTTAGTAAATTTTGTAACACACAGGACCAATGAATGTTATCACAGATGTAGTAAACGGGAAACATCAAAACAGATTAACTACGCTTTTATATTCTTTTTATATCCCATAAGCTAAGAGATGTCCAGAACAAGCATACATAACATTTCCATAATTGGTGTCCAGAACAATCAATTGTCTTTTAAATATATTTTATAATCTTTAGCTCATCGCTCATTTAACACTCCCTTTATATTTAATGTAATATTTAAGTAAAAAGAAGTGTCATACAGACATTTATTGGCGTAGTGGAAAGAATATTTATGAAACTTCTACGACAAATTGAAATCTCTGATGCCGCGGAAACCGTCAAAGAAACGAACTATTAAATGATCGCTTACGATTTAAAATAAAATTATATAGGAGATATTAGAATTGCTTTGGTGAGTACTACGAACTTATCACGATATATCGTACATGAGGGAATTGTCATATCCATCCGTTGATATGTCTTGAGATTAGTTTTTTTTTAATGAAATGTCGGTTCGGGTTGATTTGTGACATCTTACTACCTATAAAAAATAATAGTCTTTTATATTGTCGTATACATTAATTTTTGTACTTTTATAATTTGCGCTGAAGATGTGATTACTAAAAAAAAAACACACATATTCGCTTTCAGCTTTATAACCGAGATATGGCCAATAAAATACGACAACAATAATAAAAATATTACACGGAATTGTTAGTACTTAAAAATGCATAGGATTATTTGCTTTATTTGTACAGTATCGTGAAGACTGATTCCATATCTTTAAATCACCATTAACAGTTCAAATGCCAAAACCTGATGACAAACATGTAATTATTGCTTTTGTTTCCGGCTTTGAAATTTGGAATTTATAATTATTTCACGCATCTAATTTAAAGAAATGTCTAAATGAATTTCTCAAAAGTCATTACAAATTTTATAAAAAAAAATTCACTGCATGCTATCAGATGATAATTAAAAGTTTGATTGTGGTTCGTGTGTGATTAGTTAAAGAGTTTCATGTTCGGTTTTCACGCTCAGGGGAGGTAACTGTTTAGAATGATCTTATGATATATGATAAATTCAATGAAGTAAAAAGGAATGTATTTTGTGATTAATACTACAATACATGTTGTTTACTTAATCTCAAAGGTTACTGGGAAGTATGAACCATACCTTACCACGCAAACCCCTGAATGCTGAAGTGTGGTAGTTGCTTGATATATATACCACAAAGCTGGATATTAAACTATATCATATATGTAGGACTCTAAAGTGCGATGGTCACGCTAAAGTGCGATGGTCTACGCTAAAGTACGATGGTGTCTTACGCTAAAGTGCGATAGTTGTTTATTTGCTAAATTACGATGGTATATCACGCTAAAGTGCGATGAATCAAAAGGGTAAGATCATAGGGCTAAAAACGCCAAAGTACATGGATGTTAAAAAATTGTTTTTTTGCAAAAGCGAGTAGGCTTTATAATCTACCGGTAGGCTCTAGATTTAGAAAATCGACCTCGTTTCTATTGCTAAAAAGGTAATTTAGGTGTCACAAAATACTATGTTTTCTAGAAATGAATTTTTAACAATTCGGGCGTATCAAATATTTGGATCGTTGGTGTAGCTTACCGTTCACACAGTCTATCAATTATGTGAACACATCCCCTTACAGTCGTCACTGTAAATTATAAATACAAAATTCGTTCATTTTCGGAATGTGTAACACTTATTTGTATATTAAGCTTTAATTCAAATGCGAGAGAAAGGAGGTGTTTTCCGAGTTTTCTCCTTTTTCGTAGCGAGTACAAATACTTGTTATATTTTCCTACAACAGTGTACAAAGTAGTGATTAAGCGGGCAATTTATAATTTACGCATGAAAACATGTACCTTTTTTACAGACGTTTCTTTTCCATAAAATCCACAATATTTTAACGGGGACCGCAAAGTATTTTATAAAACTGCAATTAACGTTAAAATGATTTTAATGTATCCATTGGTCTCCAATAAAAGCAGGATACAGTATACTTATGCGTATACTATTTTGTATAGATCTGTAAACTGCAGATACAAGTCCTCCTTCCAGCACCCGAAAAAAAACCCCACACATTTGCTTTAACCGACGGAGCACGATAATGTTTAAATCAATTAAGTCATGGACACTTGGTTTATAAGTTGTTAATGAAATACATCTTCCAGCATGTACATTTTTGGTTTGTATAAACGACTCTTAACGTCATAATCCAATTGCGTTTCTTACGTCTATACTTTCGCGGACCATCGGACTTTAGCGTATGGAGGCATCGCACTTTAGCAAAGACCATCGCACTTTAGAGTCCTACATATTATATACTTGAGATCATAAAAAAATCGATTACGATCATCAAACTCAAGATTCCAAAATCATCAAATCAAAATACTGGATTTAGTGTTTTGAGCACAAATTTTGTACTCCTAGTATTGAGTAAAGTTTTATTACCTAAAGGCCATGTTTTCGATATAATCTGATCTTTATAGTCACATATTTGATCTAAACTTATGTTATGTCATTGTATAAACATTTGCGACGAAGACACACTTTTATATGTTTCATTTATGATGGGACCAAAACTGGATAAAAAGTATAAATCACAGCTATATGTTTCCATTTTAGAGTGTTATTTCTTAGATGTTGCATATAATTTGTAAATTTGTCTGTATAATATTTGATGATGATGATGATGATGATGATGATGATGATGGCTGTATAACTTCCAGCGACAAATTACATGTATATTCAGGACGAGAACATGTTTATGTAATATGCGTGAAACGCTGAGCCGGATTGTCAACTACCAATTCACAAGGTAACAGTTCGCTGGAAAATGTGTCACCCTACACACGACTCTTTATTCTGACTCCGAGCCGACTAGTCTTTTCTCTTCCTCCTTATTGCCGTGTGCTTAGCGGAGAAGCAGCACATACTAATTTCAAAGTCTTTGGTTTGACCCGGCCGGGGTTCAAACCCGTGACCTTCCGCCCTTGTGGCCACCACGAGACCAACGAGGCAGTGTTTGTAATATGGAGGAAATAAAGATAACCAATCAATCGTGATATATTGTTAAAATTAATAGATACGCTTATATAAATTTTAATACATTGTTAATTTGATATATTTGACACGTGTGAATGAAGACATTCAAACAAGTGAAAAAAAAACAACAAAAAAACAACAAAAAACATAAAGCAGATTAAGAAGAAATAGATTTAATTAAAAAAAATCAATCAAATAATACATTTGGAATCTTCAGTAAGGAACCTCTAATCGGGCCAATACAGGAAAAGGCATACAAGAGAATAGAACATTTTTATAACACAATAGTTCCTACGTATTAGTTTTTAAATATGTAGTTTGATACATATACATGTGTTGATAAAAACCAAAGCTTAAGGGATGGAATTAACTACAGAAGGAATGCAATTGAATTTTGATTAAGATAAAAGTTTTAGAAAACAAAATCGTGTCCATTCTTTGTTTATTTTTACACGAAAAAATAATTTTTCATACAGATCTCAATTGATAGCCAGTATGAATTATCAGTGAATCATGAAATAGGCTGTATATATATATATATATATATATATTTATTTATACCAAGAAAAGTAGTCAAATGACTACATTTTATATCTCTGCCTATGTAATAAATACATGTATGACGTATTATATGTTGTTATACAAGGTATAGGCAAGCAAAATTTATGTATTAATTTATTTATAATTTATTAATATGCTTGCATATTTTAACACGTAAACATCAACTACTGGCACTGCGCTTGTCAATATAGATAGATCCTTAGGCACTATAGATAGGTATAAAATAATGCACATGTACATGTAAAAGATACTGAATTGAAATAGGACTTCCTCAGATATTGCAATGTAATAAAGTGAACACAATTATAGAATGTCTCAGTAAGGAACCGACCATTAATGTTTTGTTTGTTTGGGGTTGGGGTAGGACCAACATTATCTATATAACTTTTTACACAAAACAGAATATTTTCCCCCTCGATTAATGATAGAAGAACACTTATTGTTTTTTTATCAATGTTGTATCTATTTGTTTTACTAATATTCAATACAAAGAAACTATATTTTACACTTCCCTTCTGAAACAATTTTGTTTGATAGAAATGTAGGATCAAACAATTTATCAAAAAATACTACCTCTCCATAAAATATGACTAGTCGATGCCTTCTGCTATAACTGCAGCAAAAGAGCTGTTCAATATTGAATATTATGGTTAATCAAACCAGTATTACTTAACAGCAACAGTACATTGTTAAACGTTAAGGATGTAAGCGAAGAGTACGTTTTTTTTTTAATAAATAATAAATGTTGACCTACCGCTGAAGCCGAATTCGTCAATTCTTCTGTGTCTTGTATGTAGTCTCCCATTGGTGCTGCCTTGCATACAGTCAACGTGAAAATAAACATAGATGTAAAAACGATAAGAAAAACTTGAGCTAATTTCTCAGACATAACTAAAACAATTTAACTGCAGTAAAAACTAAATAAAGTTTATCTAACGTTGCTGTTCCTTCCCTGTTCTTAATAAGGATGAGGATTAATTTTTCACGTTTTATATATACAGCTCAAGCCCACGGTCGTTCTCTATCACAATTTACCGCTCAATCACTGACGTTTTTAATATTCCCAAATCACATAGATCCAATTCGTTGACAATTATTTCAGCCTATCAATTGTCACCTTATTAATTTTGACGTACGGCAAGACTTATCTCCCTTGATAATTAGACAGATGTAAGATAATTCTAGATGACAATTAATACATCGTTATCGCTTGTTTTATTATTTCAAAATAATTGTTTTTCAAGTAAAATCGTGATTTATGGCATTCGGGACCAACATGGATCAATCCTTTTTTATGAATATATCAAAGAAATGATACTGTCAATTTCAAATATGTACATTTCATAGTTATAATGGAAAAGTGTTTTAAGAGATTTTGAAATTAGTAGCATCAAGCTAACTTGAGGCAAATCGAAATATTAATAATTTATTTCTGTCTACAAAATTGATTTCATATTTTAATCTTTGCTTTATTTTATATTCACTAGTACATTTAACTTATATCAAACATTTGCATTTGTGTTAAATTAATGGTAACTTCAAGCACAAATCTAAATATTTTGTATTATTTCAATCGCTAGAAGGATCTAATTTGTGTTCTTAAGATTTTTCATGGTAAAATTAATTCAAAGTAACTATAATTGTCTTATTTTTCGACTCTGATAAAACTTTCGGTACTACTATGGAGATCGTAATTAGTTTTGTAAGTCTTTGTATTAACTTTACAACCATACTGAGATTTTTTTGGTGTTTTTAGTTTTGTGAACAGTCGCACAACAAGTTTTTACCATATTGCTACAGTGTTTCTCTTCGTTTCTGTATATCAAATCATTCGATATTTTTTGAAATCATATTGTGTTATAATACTTATACCAAAGAGTAGTTGTATGAAAAATTAATATAAAAAATGTATGTATGGGCAATTGTGTCATTTGCCATTATGCTACGTGAAGGTCTGGATGTGTGTGTGTGTGTGGGGTGGGGGGGGGGGGGGGGCATTTTTCTCTATTCTTTATTAATGTTGCCCCTTATTAATGAATGCTAGATGTATTTATTGTATTTTCTGGCCCCATTATCCTATATTCTTTATGTTTATGGCCTATTTTTCTCAATTTCTAAATTTTTTTTTCACCTGTTTTCTGTAGTCTTTGTCCATTATTCGCTATTCTGAAAACCCCAACCAGGCCATCATAAGTAAATTACACCAGATCCTTTTTTATCTACTCAGAGCTCGTTCAGGACAGGGATATATAAGTAATACTATACATAAAAAACGTCTAGATATTAGTCAACGAATTACTTACGAGGACGCCGAATCGTTATGAAAATCAAAACGATACTGTACGCTATTAAGAAATAATATATACATCTAAAAAGTGTATATATATATTATGTATACAAGTCTAAATTGAAAACAACGTTCAAACCTATGATTGCGTTGGATAAAAACCGCAATTTTTATACGTGTGCATGCAAAACAAATTTCTTGGTAGAGGGGTCTAAATACAGCACAAACAACATTTTCAAAAAGACCAAAAAAGTGAAAAGTATATTTTAACAGAACGCATTTAACATATACATATACAAGGGATACACTAAACTCACCAAGGATACCAAGCTTATAATTCTGTAAACCAGGAGCGAGTTTCGTCTACAAAAGACTCATAAGTGACGCTCGATAATGGATGTTCGCTTGTCACGTTTTCAATTATTCTCTAATAATTCTTTACCTCCTTTTTTTTACCCAGCTAACCCTGCATGTCTCAATATTGTCTGTTACCTTCTATCTCGAATACACTTCTGGTCAACTATATAAAAATAAGAAGATGTAGTATGATTTCCAATGAGACAACTCTCCACAAGAGACCAAATGACACAGAAATTAACAACTATAATAGGTCACCGTACGGCCTTCAACAGTGAGAAAAGCCCATACCGCATAATCAGCTAAAAGACCCCGAAATGACAAATGTAAAACAATTCAAACGAGAAAACTAACGGCCTAAATTATGTACAAAATAATGAACGAAAAACAAATATGTTACAAAGCAACAAACGACAACCACTGAATTACAGGCTCCTGGCTTGGGACAGGCACATTCAGAATGTAGCGGGGTTAAATCAGTTTGAAGGCGCCAACCCTCCCCCTAACCTGGGACAGTTGTGTAACAGTACAACATAAGAAAACAGTATAAAAATCAGTTGAAAAAGGCTTAACTCATCAGATGGATACAAATAGAAATACATCTAACAAAAACACAGAGGGGACGTGGCAGGTTGCTTATAAATCCCCACAACAAAAAGAATCTAAGGACAGATCTGAGAGTACTTGCAGTTACTGACAGCAAGTTTGGAATTTTATTTTTTTCGTACAGTTTAAATATTTATACATTTTATATGAAAAATCCAAACATTCTTTACCCCTCCCAAAAATTTTAATGTTTCAATTGCTTGTTATTAAAAACACAAATGGCATGCACCTATTTTTATTTTTTCAATAATTTTGATGTAGTACACAGTATCTTTTGAAAAAGGCTTCCATTAATAGTTTTGACTTTTATCAACGAGCAGAATGGGGAAGCGCTTGTAACGCTTGAGTTGCAACCTTTGACTGCATACAAAAATTGTCAAGTTTTTAGACAAGGAGTGCTGGCCATAGGAAATAATGTGAACGATTTCTCTTTTTTTAGGGGATAGCTCGTTTATATGCTTCGACGAGCATTATCTGTATGAGTAATTGATCTTAAAAATGCCACTTTCAATATACTGTATCGTATAATTTTCTTAACATTATAACCACCAGAAAATAATTTCATATGGCTTTAATGTTTTAAAATTATTTGGAGAATTGGTTGTAAATGGCAGATCGTTGATTGTTTCTGTTTAATTTTCACAACATTTTTATTCTGTTATTCTTACATTTTGAACATACATATTCCTTCTGTTCCCATAGACTGTTATAATATAATTGGTTGTTTTAGCAAGTTATATTTAATTGATATACAAGTAAAAACAGGTAAACAGGTGCAAAACATAAACCTTTGTAACTTATTTTGTGATAGAGAGAATTATAATTATAAAGATAAAAATATGGACCCATTACAGAGAATAGAATACAAAACTAAATATAGAAATGTACTTTCATACAAAATTAATATTTGAAATAAAAGAATTGAAAAAAAAGTTTATTACATTTTCTACTATTTGTACTTTCAGATTGCACATTGATGAAATCTCAAGGGGTTTTATGGATATTTACCTGAATTAATTATCTTATGTTTTTACAACCTTATACAATTTAATCCTTTGTTTATTCAAATATTCTTCCTATTCCTATATGGATCTCTTACAAGTGTCATACCAGATTTTAAAATGTTGGATTAGCAGGAATCAGCCCTTTTATAGACTTAAAACGTTTCCGAACTTGACATATTTTATAGACATTGTGTTGTCTCCTTGATGTGTTTTGGTTATTTTTGTCATTTGGGTTGCTATATCATCAAAGTAATCTTTATTTATACCTGGGACAAAAAACATTTTAGTATAATAGTCCCAGTTTATACATTATAGGGTACCTTTTATATGTATGCCGCGAAGATTTTTATTTTGCACGAGCTTTCGAGTGCAGTTAATATTCTATGAGGGATAAGATTCACTAATTTTCTTGTTTAGCAAAACTTCAAACACTGTTTAAAAACATAGTTTTGTCAGTGATGACGTCGATAATTTCAAGCTAAATTTACAGTAGTGCAATGTTATAAAACTTTTTGTTACGTCTTTTGGGAAATATTATATTGCTATATAATAGGTAAATATATACATGTACCGAGTAAAAAAAAGTTTAGCAACATAAACAATGCAATAGTAATTAATAATTTTGTCTTAGTGTAAAACGACACATTATGGTTAATTTTCTGTGTTACAATAAAGTATTTATCGTTATGAATAGAAGTATAGCTTTTATTTTTTTTAAAACATCTACTGCTAAATTGATTTACTGAGTATCGTAAACTTGGTGTACAATTTTCATAATTGAACATTTTGATTTCTGTGCATACATATTACATGTTTGATAAATAATATATAAGCCACTTTTGTATTTTAGCTTTCTATAGCTACGAACCATCACGATAGAAAAAGACAGAGAGTCTATAAAACCACTAATTTCAGTTAGTTATCAGTTGAACTACTTTACGAAAATAATAATTATATTTGTTTAATTATTCATCATAAAATTTAGTGAATAAATATTTCTTTTCACACGTCTTAAATTAATTTGAAAAGAACTTGTCAACCTAAAAGTTTGTGTCAAGCCATTAGATGATTCCGAAGAAAAGGAGCGCTGAAAGAACGACGTATACAGGGGCGGACTCAGGAATTTTGAAAAGTAGGGCGTAATTCCATAAAAAAAAATTAAAAAAAATGAACATATACAAAGTTATTTTTTTTGGACGATTCTTTGCCAAAAAGCGATATATTTTCCAACCAAAATACGCCCCATCCCCTGGATCCGGCACGGGACTACACCTTTTTTCTTTTGGTCAAATATTAATCATTCACTCTACATATTGAATTTTGCTATTTGGAATATTGCGTTGTAAATATGTGTATTACATTGTAGATTTGATACGTCTAACTTGTTTCCAAAGAGCAAAACAGATAAAGGACAGTCTAAGTTTTGCATCCTTGAATAACAGGAAGTAATTCCGAACCAATGAATAAAAACAGATGTAGGATATACGTCAATGAGAGGTCAATTCAACGAAATAAACACCCAAAAGCCATCTATAAACTATCAAACACTCTTCAACAAATATACAGATGTTTTGACAATAGGTTCAATTCCAATTCGTCCCGAGTCTAAAGAAATTGTGAATTAATTAAACAAAAAATTTCAAAGATTTACCATCAACACAAAATAATCCAAGAGCAAGAAATATTGAGATATGACATAAAAGAGCCAAACCAAGAGAAG